GGTAACCTTCATCTGAAAGGCTTACTAAAAATTTAACCATACACAAAATAAACACAGGTGACCCACAGACAACCAGTGATACAGGACTGGCCTTTCCTGTCTTTGTCTTCCCTGGCCTCTTTGATATTTGAAAGCACTGACTCCCTCTGCACTACCATCACCCCAGGAAGACGTTATCTAGAGATCTCTGGTTCATCAAGCTAATCCCTTTCATCAATATAGCAACCCCACAGGTTGGACAGTGTAGTTGTCATCTCATTTTATAAAGCAAGAAGCAGACTGAGAGGTTAGGCAACTTGCCCAAGCCAAGGCCCAAGCAAATCCAGGACCTCAGACTTCTAACAGTAGTTCTGATTCTCCATGCTGGTTTGCTGAGACTAGTTCCAGTGAAATTATTACAATTTTAATTACTTAAACATAGTAATATAAATCTAGACATAAGTTTTTTTTTAATATAAAGAAAAAAAGACTGGAAGGACATACTCTAAAATGCTGAAATGATTTTCTCTGGGCAGTAGGACTAAATAAATCTTTGCTTTTTTCTGTGTTTTTATGTGTATGTGTGCTTTATATATGATGCATTGAACCATTATAAGAAAATATGTTATTAAAATGTAAAGTCCATTGTAAAACCACATAAAAGTATACAAGGAAAAATGTAAAACTGAGAAATAATCACTTCACTAGAAAACACTTTCTCAGATCTAAATTTGACTCTAATACTAGATTCTCAATGTAACAACCTAAGCCATCCATATATGCCTTACAACAAATTCACAATAGAGTTTCATGGGATATACACCATTTTTCCAGTCACCCACATGTAAAAGAAACTTAGGGATAAAGTTTTCTTTCACTTAGGCTGTAAAGAAATTGCCACGCCTGTTAAGTTTATTTACTCTTTCATCTGGAAAAGAAGAGTCTAAATAGGTTCCTTCCTGCCTTAAGGTATTTAGAGTATAATAAGAAATTACTTCTATGGAGTAAATCTGTTAGAGAGAGCAGGAAGTCATAAGATTTTTGGGAAATAAACCAAATATCTTTTTTCTTTCCTGAGAAGAGGGGGAAAAATTATGCCAAATATTTCAGTGTACTATGTGACTAGAGATTTGTAGAATCTGGGGGAAAAAAAACTCTATAAAGTTTTATAAGGTTTTATGCAAAGTTATAAAAGTTTTTACTTTATGCCTTCCCTTTACACATCAAACCCAAATTTTGGATGATTTGCACATCCTGAACATCTGGATATCCAGGCCCTTAACTTCAGAGAAGATACAGTAAATAAAGGACTTGGCAACTTTAAGTGTGAAAAAACAGGCAGAGTTAGAACTGGGATCTAATCCAAGCTATGTTTAGACAAAAGTAAGCAAAGGAAAATACAAATATCAAACTATTTAATTCAAGTCAGAAGTTTATTAGACCTTATGCTCACTAGGGCATTAGGAAAGCAAAATATATGTAGCCTCATTAAGATTCCTGAGAAGAGGTAGAGAATACATTTCCCCAAGGAAAAAAATACCGGAGAGAGTTCCCAAAAGGGATTCTGTAATAGGACTACTTCCTCCTTTCAAAGATTTTGCAAATAATACTTTTAAGACTTTGCAGCAGAACCACAATAAGACAATTAAAAAATCAGACCCACCCATTGAGTTAGTGCTAGTGGAATCTGTCCTTCAGGAAATGCCAGGTGGAGATTCAAAAAAAAAAAAGCTCTTTACTAATTGTAGCCAAGATTCCTTGGTACTTGGTGTTGGTGCCAGGGCCAGGATATTAACCCAGATGTCCTAGCCAAATTCAAGGTTGGTTAATTACTGTCTGCCAACCTAGCAAAAAAAAAAAAAGTCCCTCTCTATTCCCTGATTAAAATCTGAAGGGGTCACTCTTACTTAAAATTCTTGTATAGTACCACCAGTCAATATGTCTTCCCTTAAAAGTGCATCGTAACTCAAATGCTGATTCAAAGCATACGGATTCTTTGAGTTCTATACATGGGAAACATACACAATATATATTAAAAATATATAAGATGATATACTAGTTTAAAGTCCCCCTTAACAGTTATCTAAAAAATTCATATCCAGGACAATATTGACACTGCTTTCCAATTAAGATGGGCAAGACTTACATGAAGGTTTATATTAAACACAGACTTTGAACTACAGACTTTTAAGACTAAAAAGGAAGGCTTTGCTGCTAGAAGCACAATATCAAGAAAACACTACATATGCAAATATCAGTTACAGGGTCTCCCAGAGTTAAAGATCTTGCATACAAATAGGCAAGTATTCATTCAATAGCAAGTCTGAACATCAAGTACTGGTCTGGCCTTTCTGGCAGCCACTTGAGGTTCCACTGCCAACATATTCTGTGCAATGCTTAAAATAACATAAACTAGGGTTCGGTTTCTAGCTCTGTATTCATTAGCTGTGTGGCCTTTTAGGCAAATTAGTAAAATTCTTTGAGCCTCTGCTCCTTTACCTTTTAACTTTTCCTTCATCAAAATCACCATAATATAGCATTATTCTATATCTTTCAAAATTTAAAATATTTTGATAAATATGTATTTTAAGGATTACAACCTATATGGTGTTAAATTATTTGCCCCACCCACCCAAGCTCCCACCTCAGTACCTTTGTACTCGCTGTTCCCTCTTCTTTGTATGCTCTTCCCTCTGGGATCTACAGTCCCTCACTTCCTCTAGATCTCTACTCAAAAGCCACATTCTCAGCAAGGTCCCCTCTTACCACTCTACCCAAAATTTCCATTACCCCAACTCTTGTCCCCAAAACCTCACGTCTTCCTTCCCCGATTTTTCTTATCATGTATCACTTTCCAACATGCAATAAATTATATTAACATGGTTACTGTCTGCCTCCTGTACCTGAAGAGGAGTTCCAAGGGAGCAGGGATCCTGTTTTATTCACTGCTGTATCACCTGTACCCAGAATAGCACCTGGCACACAAGTAGGTGCTCCATAAATATTTGTTGAATGAATACTGAATGAGATCTAATTACAGCCCACAGATAGGTACACCATAGCTCCACAAGCTGTCTTTGGGGAGACTATCAACACTTCAAAAAAACTAAAAAGAGAACTATAGGCTTGTCGTGACTAATAAACAATACTGTCCATTCTTTATATCAGAAAAACACACTCGACCTCATACCTCATTTGTACAAGGGAGGGAGGAAAAAAGCTGATAACTGGGATAAAGTAGAAAGTTCTGAGATGAAAAGTCTTACTTTAGTTAACACCACAAAGTTTTCTTTTAATGTTAACAAATATTAAGCCATCTGTCTGTGACTTTACTACATTACCCCATCTCTTTATTTCTTTAGCTTTGACTTCTATAAAAGTAATCTTGAAACTTATGGACTTCATATTTTGAATTAAGTAAATAATGTTTACTGAACACACAGGACTCCACAGAATCCTGCAGAGGGTGCTATAAAGTGAAATACAAGATCCTTGCCATATGTATTCCCAGAATGCATATGTGTATATATGTGTGTGTGTGTGCATGTGTATATATGTATATCCAGAAATATATCTGCAAAAATGTAGAACACCAAGCAGTCAATATGTGACAAATTCAGAGGTGCCTACCTGCATTGCATATGGATTATAAGAGCACCAATTCATCTCATATATATAAACCATTGGGCTTAGAATTCCAACAGAGAGAAAAAGCAAGAGTCAGACCTTACTGAGTTAAGTTCACAAGCACTTATAGGTCACATGGGATGTGACAGACCCAATGTTAGACACTGGGTAAAAAATAATTTTTTTAATGTAAGTAAGAAGGGCCAAATTCTAAACTAAGGAACAGAAACCAGATCAGCTTATGTTGTGCTGAAGAACAGTAAGAGCTTAAGCAACTGCTGAAAAAGTAGGGAAGGGCAGGATCTTTATTTTTAGACAGAATATGGATGCAGGGTCCTCACCTGGTTTCAGTTTGAACTAGGCCTAGTGGGAAGCCTAAGATGTACTTTAGCATGTTCTATGCACCTAAAAACCCCAGCACCAACCCTTGGCCAAGCAATCACCCACTTCCTTTGCTTTAGTATAGTAAAGGCCAGGCTTGTTCCTTGCCCGAGATTCACTATACTAATTTAGTAAGTAAGCACCTGGAGTCAGAACCTGGGAACTCAAATCCTGACACCACCAGCTGTGTGACCCTGGGCAAAATACTTGACCTTTCTATGCCTCTTCTGTAAAATGGAGATAATGATAGCACCCTCATTGGGTTAGGCTGATTTATGAGATAAAACACATAAAAGACTTGCCCAGAGCCTGACCACTGGAAGCCCTCAATAAATGTTATAATTTCCAGAGAAAAAAAATGCCCAAAGGCTGAGAAACAACAACTGAGAATTCTTGCAAATGTTACCATTAAACCCAAGAGTCAAATACATTTGGTCTCCCGACTTGTGGATACTACCGGAAATAGTAATGATAATAAAACAGCACCAACCAGAATCATAACCTACCAGCCACAGCAACACTAATACTAAGCTTTTACTGGCCAGGCACACCTACAACAGAAAGAAGGCAAGCCTGCTGAGTCCAAAAAAAATAAATATCCCAAAATTGCACAATTTTCTCCACCCTCCTTTTTAAATACGGTAACTGGCGCCCAAGTTTTGCTGAAAACAGGTATTTAAAAGCATTACAGACTTAATGTGTAATTTCTTCATACCAAAGAGGTGGGGCTGTGACGGGAGGAGGGGTGGCGCTCGGTTCCTGCCAGATGGATGGAAAAGCCACATTAAGTGGAGAAACAGGCGAGTTCAGGGTTTATGCCCAGACCAAAATCAGCTTTTTGAAGCCCAGGACGTCCAAATTAGGGGCCTCAGAAGGCTCTGCTTTTAAAATAATCTCTGAACAAGTGTCATCTGTCCTCCGAGCCAATCCCCGGCCGTGACAGAAGGCTCGTTACGGGGCGGCGGTGTTATCTCAGAAATCCTTGTCACCTCTTGTCATCCACCTTTTCCAAGAATCTCAGTACCCCGTGGCGGGGGGTAACAAAAGTCACAGCCAAGCGGGCCGGAGGCCAGCCGGGCAGCCCGCTGGCGGGCGCAGCCAGAGGCCACGGCCCGGGTGCCCTCCATCCGGCTCGTGGGTGCCAGCGCCGGGCCCGAGGAGCGTTCAGGCGGCCGGGCGGCGGCGCCCGGGGCAACAGGTCCCGCAGGGCCTCGGCCTCCCCTCCCGGGTCCCCGGCCAGCCCAGACCCCCGGCCGAGCGAGGGGGCGCGAGGCGCCGGGGAGGGAGCGGCCCGGGGCGGCGCAGGGCACGGAGTCCAAGCTCCATCTTGAGGCGGGCGGAGGAAGGGAAGGCCGGGGTCGGCGCCGACAGGGCTGGCCACTTTTCCGGCTCCCGGACGAGCGCCCCAGGGACCCCCTGGCCTCCGAGGCCACCCTCCCGGGACTCCGCGGCTGTCCTCAGGGGCGGCCCCGCGCGCGGGACTCGGCCCCCTCACGGACTCCGGCCCGGCCCCGGCCCCCAGCCAGGCGGGCAGGAGCGGGCCCGCCGGGGCGGGGGGACCGGGAAGGGGAGAGGGCCCGCGCCGCGCCTCGCTCACCGCTGCCGCCGCCTCGAGAGCCGCCAGTCGCCGCCACCTGCCCCACTGCAGCAGCAGCCGCCGCCTCCCGGCTCGTGGGCTCGGGGCGGGGGAGAGGGTGACGCGCCGCCGCCGCGGGGCCGGGCGGGCGCGCGCCGCCAGGAGAAGACGCGGCCGCGGCTCCTCCCCGCGCGCTCCGTCGTCGCGCGCCCGCCCGGCCTCGCGCCCTGCGCCCCAGCCGCACTGGTCCGGCGGAGCGCCCGACGCCGCCGCTTTGTCTGCACCGGCCCCGCGGCGGTCTGGTGGCTGGCCAGCGGATCCTAAGGAGCACGGGGTGGGCAGGAAGGTGCGAGGGAAACCCTAGAGGCCCGGGCTGAGGGGCTTCTCAGCCTTTTGGCTAGTTCCGTGTTTTCTAAAAGTGTCCCAGAATTTGCAAGTCACCCCCGTTAACTCCTCTCAGTCTTGACCACCTCCTGTTAGTTTGGGGCCGGTTCTCTTTTTTTTTTTTTTTTTTTTTTTTNTTTCTCAGCCTTTCAGCTAGTTCCGTGTTTTCTGCAAGCGTCCCAAAATTTGCAAGTCTCCGCAGTGCATCACTCCTCTCAGTCTTGACCACCTCCTGTGAGTTTGGGGCCGGTTCTTTTTTTTTTTTTTTAAGTCAGGCCCAGGGTGACATATCTTAGGAAACAGGCTAGGAGGAGCTGCCCTCAGCAGGTTAAGTTTACGGAGCGCCTTCTCTGCCCTCCTCTCCCCTTAGAGAAGGACCCAGGGTGAGGACGCAGAGAAAAATGCTGAAGGAGCTGCCTACAGCAACTGAAGCTTGGGAAGGACCACCTCTACTCCTACTTTCCCTCTAGGGAAAGACTCAAGTTTCAAAATCCCTTTACACAAGCGCAGTACTTGCTGCGTTAGCTTGAGAAAAGCCTCTTTTATTCGCCACAACCTCTTGGACCGAACCCTGGTTAAAGTACCGTCCTCCCTTCTCCCCCAGGGCTCGCCTTCAAAGGCTTTTGAAAGGGACTGGAGGGAGGCAGCAACAGCGTGCTCGGACCTGCTGCAGCAGAGGGCGATGGGCATTTCACTGCCATGGACCATGGCAACCCCACAAGTTTTGCAGCTCCTGGGAGGAATTTGCAGCTGTCAGGGGAGCCCAGGATTTTGCAGCGACTCGGTGGTGGATAAAGAGGCCCAGGATTTCCTCCTCCTCCCTGGTAAAAGAGAATAATCAAGAGGGTTTATTCAAAGCACTGTGCTGCCCCGACCAACAGGCCTGCACAGAGCAGGGGAGGGAACTCCACTGGAAAAGCAGGATATTCTGAATAAAGTAAATTTACCTGCTGCCCTTCCCCTCAATTCATGTTTAAAATCACAAAAATTCTGTTTTCCTAATTTAACACCATCCTAGTTTGCAAGCTGGGAGATCAAAGTGGTGATGGCACCCCTGAAATCTAGTATCTACATTCCTAGTCTGAAAGGCATACCTCACCCCTCATCTGAACGTGTTTCAGCTGGAATAAGCAACCCGTGTAATCATAGATGCCATAGAATGTTCCAAAGACTACTATTAATGGTGGGGTGCACTTATAAACTCTTCTGTTTTTCTCTTTTCTCTTCTACTCATTCTGCTGAGCCTGTCTGTATTTTAAAATGCTGATATTTTATTCATTATGAGTTTTTTGTATTCATTTAGACTTTTTAAACATTGCATTAAAATATCATCTCTCTGAACTACTGAGTTTTAGTGCCCCCCTTAAATTTTGTGACCAAGGCCTAGTCACAGCCCTACCACACAGGGCATTGAGTGCCAGCAGCCAGTGTTAGGACTAAAGAAGTTGCTCAATCCTACTTCAAAATAGTGTTCACATTCCATTTTTAGATTAGGCCACTGAGCTTTTAAATGTGTGTGTTCTATACAAGTGTTAGAACAGCTCAACTGACAAGTCTTTGGAAGATGGGGATGTGGCAGAAGTAGAAACCAAGTAGGTTCTCCCAAATCCTCATTTTACAAAGTGGGTAAATACCTGTTTTTTCTTTCTGGAACAAAATACAAAGATTTAATCATGTCATTAATGTAACAATAGGGATTAACTACAAATAGTGGCAGAACTGTGTTGAAGGGGAGAGGTAATGGTGCTTTAGTCATAGCAAAATGTCAATAGATAATGTCTACAGTTCGTAAATAATAACAATATAAGTATATTTTTAAAAGTATGGAAAGTTGCCACTAGAAAAACAAAAAGCAAAACATTAATTGTATCTGGGGAAGTGGGCAGAAGGGTCAGTTTTCCTTATACACTTGATATATATACTTCATATTTTAAAACCCTGTGCATGAATTGCATTGATTTTTTTTTAAAAAAAGGGTATTTAAGATGCTCAAACAAAATAAGTAGAGATCGTTCTTCACACAGTGGTACGTGTTAATGGTTTGTTTCCACACAACTCTTTATCATTAATTCTTTTCCCAGCCAGTTTTCAATAATGCAGCAGGTTGGTTATTTATTACCTGTTGTGCTCCACCCCTTCTAGAATGTAAATTCCAAGGCAGCAAGGATTGTTGACTAATTCGTTGCTCTATCCTGCATCCCCAGATACTTGGTCCACAGTAGATTATACTTTTAAAACGGAAAGAGTATAAAACTTCGCATTCTCAACAACTGGGGACTACTTTCCTGTGTTTTCTCTCTTTTTTTTTAAGCAATAGATGTTCATTACATAAAATTAAAGCAAGCAAAATTAAGAAAACAAAATTATTATAATCCCACACATCCAGAAAAAATTAGTACAATTACTGTTTATAAATATTTTAATCTCCCACTAAGACACTAGTAGTTCTTACCACCATTCAAAAACAACACTCAGTATAAAATAGTGGTTGGAGAGTTGTTTGTAAACTGCTGTAAAGATGCGAGTTATCCAGTTAAACCAAATGTTTATGAAGTCAGTGGTTGATGCAGCATTTCTAATCTGATTCAACAAATATTTGTTGAGTGTGTGAAAAGCTGATTCTATCTTCAGCAAAAATCAAGCAGATACAAACAAATATGTGTATACATTTCTAATCTGATTCAACAAATATTTGTTGAGTGTGTGAAAAGCTGATTCTATCTTCAGCAAAAATCAAGCAGATACAAACAAATATGTGTATCTTTCTATTTAAAAAATAGAAGATGAAACAAATGCTGTCAAAACAAGAATACTCCTTAAATTAAAAGTACTTTGCTTTTTCTTTCTTTTTCCTTTTAAGTTCCTGAACCATGATAGATAGGTCATAGTAAAAAATGTAACCCCTAAGAGATAATCCATGATTAAAATAATCTTTGTTTTCACTGGGCTATTTTTAAAATTACATCTGCTTTTATTAGCATTGTTTCAGAAACCAGAGTCAAGTTAATTTCATTCACTCATCCAACAAATATTTACTGAACCCCTACTGTGTCCCAGGCACTGTTCCAGGTACTGGGGTGTACAGCAGTGCAAATCAAATCTCTGTCTTCTAGCCTGACTTTTACTGCTATCTGGTTTACCAAATCAAGGTGGGATAATCATTGTTTTGTGAATTCCATTGGTTTTATGCCCACATGGATAGGATACACCCGACTATACTCCTTGTCAATTTCATTCAGCTCTGCTAAAAATTAAGGGAGAGATTTATAAAGTCAGATACAAGAAAAACATTTAGGTTAACTTTGATGTTTTAGGAAATACTAACGTTTCTTTGCAAAGGTAAGGACCTAGTACTGGGTCATTTAATCAAAAAGGGACTAACTCATACATATATTGAATCATTATGTTGTATACCTGGAACTAATATAGATCCATTATATCTCAAAAACAAAACCACCAAAAAACAGTACTAACCCAGAACAAGGTGGAGTTTTAAACTGCGAAGAAAGGAAACAATAAATAAATCCTACTACACATGATGAAGCATTCATAGACTATTTGGGGCCAAAATTTAATTTTATCACTGAAACCAATTAAGACTTTATACAAACAATGCTGATGGTAGTGATTTCATGGAATTTTTTTAAAAGCTACATGATGAAGAACGACAGGCTACTAAATTTAAATTCATAAGCTCACATCTCAAGGAGAACCATCTTGTGACAACAAAAGCTGTATTGTACACATTCAGCTAACAGAACTAAGCCGGTAGGGCAGCACACGTTTTGATGTAAACTGTATTTTAGAGCCTTCTAAATACTGTTTGAGTACAGGGAGTTGCATGATGAGGGGGTTGAATGAGATAACTTAGAAAATTCCTACCACAAACATTTTCAAGATTCTGTGGCTTTTATCCAGTTAAACCAAATGTTTATGAAGTCAGTGGTTGATGCAGCATTTCTAATCTGATTCAACAAATATTTGTTGAGTGTGTGAAAAGTTGATTCTATCTTCAGCAAAAATCAAGCAGATACAAATATGTGTATACACATGTCATAGCAGCACTATTCACAATAGCTAAGAGGTGGAAACAAGTGAAATGTCCATTAACAGATAAAATGGGTAAACATATTATGGTACATACATACAATGGAATATAACTCAGCCAAAAAAATGAAGCACCGACATAGGCTTCAACTTGGATAAACCTCAAAAACATGATGCTGAGTGAAAGAAGTCAGAAACAAGAGGATATATATTGCATGATTCCATTTATATGAAATATCTAGAACAGGTCAATACATGGAGACAGAAACTAGATGGTGGTTGCCAGAGGCTAGGAGCAGAAGGGAGTTGGGAACAATTTCTCAGTGGGTGCAGGCTACCCTTTAGGAGTGAGAAAAATTTTTGGACCTAGACAGAGAACAACATTGTGCATGTACTAATTGCACACTTCAAATTGTATACCTTGAAATGGCTAGTTTTGTATTATGTGAATATGATCTCAATAAAAAATAAGTACATACATACATGAAAGTAATATGTACTCCAAAAACAAGCCAAGTAGAGAATAGATGGTAACCAGATAGGTGGGAGATTTCTGGAAAAGAGATTTGTAAATTCAGAGGCAGTTTGGACTAAAGTCCTACCCAACTCTAATATTCTATTATTTTACAGATTGAGCTCTTCCTTAGTGTTCAGTTATCACATCTGGATGGATCACAACTATATTAGATCTAAAGTTTAACTGTACAAAAGAGATCAAAATTAAATGTAGATATAAATCTAAGGAAAGGTGGGAGTTGTCAGCCTCTACCAGGGCTTGCATTCATATAACATGACTAAATCTCCTTGAGATTCCTTCTAAGAGGATAGGCTCAAACAAAATAGGCAAATTTTAGTACTACCCACAATCTTGCAACCTGGAGATACCAGATAAT